GAGATATAATTTTGACATTACAAACAGACACTTCAATTTTATTCATTTGTATAGATGAGAATATTAAAATAGTAAAAACAGTTATGTTGTGTTTTGTAAATATTGATATCATAGAAATAAATGTATTTTGTTTTTTGTATGTCTGTGTGTTTTTCTTCTATTATCTTAACATTTTTCTTTGATGCTCGGTTCCTATTGGCCATTGCGTGATGTTAAATAGCCTATAGCCTTCCTCAATAAATGGGCTATCCAACACTAAAAATTTTTTTTCAATTCGAACATAGTTTCTGAGATTAGCGTGTTTTACCCATTGATATAATACTTACATAGATGAGTAATTACCGCCTAAAATCGTTGCTACTGCACATATGTCCACAGGCATATGCGTAGCAAACGTCAATTCATTATTCAATGTGGCGTCAACCGAGTTGAACATAGCGACACATGACAGTAACAATCGCCAAAATGGCTAAATGCGTAGTGAAAGAATGCGATTCAAGGTCACAAAACATTAATAAATCATGCGGAATTACTTTTCACGTGTAAGTTTATGGTTTTTGTATTGATAATATCGTAAATAAGGCTATAATTGAAATAAAACACTGATAATTGTAATTTAGAATCAGTGTTACCATTAAAAAATCATTTTGGTTTTCCCACATTAGTGGGAGAATTTATAATTTATGAAATAATATGCTTTATACTGTTTTTAAACATTTTGCCAATAATAATAAAATATAGGAAGAACGGTAGTTGTTAGGGCTGGACCGATCCCTTTTTTTAGGGACCCGTTGAACGTTTTAAGGACCCGTTGAACGCACTGCGAGCTTGGCACTTCTGCCAAGCTCGCAGTGCTGGAGACTTTTGTACAAAAAAATTAATTCATTGTTTTTCTTAATTTATTATCAATTTTAAATAATAATTGTACAAAATAATAATAATAATAATAAATGTTTATCATAAAAATAAAAATATGAAATAAAAAAGTAAATAAACTTAAATAATTTTTTTTATAAAATAAAAAAAAATTTTTTTTTTTTTATTTGTTTTTTAAATTATAATATAATTTGCAATACACCCTGGGGATTATTTATTATCAGTACAAGTTGATCATTCACTTTTATTATTAAATGCTATTATTTTTACATACGTAAAAATAAGATTGTATCATGAAAGTAAAATATCCACACAAACTTATAAAAAAGAGTCTAAAAGACAATTGTATACAAAACTGATGCTTCACAGCGCAGTTTGATTTTACACTGAATATAAACCCTTTTAACCAAATATTTCCAGTTATTTTATTATTTATACCTATTCTATTCAATTCGAAATATATTATTTAGAATATTTAAATTAATTTATTTTATTACAAAATTGTTTTAAAAAAAAATTGTTTCTTGGGTAAAATTTCATACGGTAGTCAACACTGGCCCACCATCGTAAAGTTATATCTTTGTCTTTGTCTAATCCGAGCGATGGTATTGTTCTTGTCTCGCGTGTAAATGAGACATAAATATGTTTACTTTCAAATGTTTAGTGGTATCAAAGCTACGTCGTCAAAGTTCAAAAGTGGTTACACTTTTTTCGACGTGTGATAATGAGGTTTGCTTCTCTAGTGTTGTTTTAACTCAATGGTTTTACCAAACAAACTCTTCAGTATTTAAAATATTAATATTTGTAGATGGTGTGAATTTAGTGAAAAAAAAAACTATTTTATTTTACTTAGCGATAATAATCTTTTATTCAGTATTGTTTAATTAATCATAGAAGTGTCTGTCATTTATTGAAGAAAGAAGGTCAAATCCACCGATAAATATATTTTTATTATACCAATCAAGGTCATATCATAACGACCGGATGGCGTAGTGGTTTGTGTGCATATGAGCATTTAATGTTTGAATTGGTTTTGATGTTTCTATGTAAATGTTCTATGTAAATAAAAATATATATGTATGTGCTTACAAAAGAAAGGATATATGTATTTGTATCAGTTGTCTAGTACCTATAGTACAAGCTCTGCTTAGTTTGGGACCAGACTGCCGCGTGTTAGATGTTTCAAGTTATTATTATTACTATGGACTGGACCTACAGTCCAAGATACACAAATGCGGTGACGCCCTTTTAAGGCTAATGGTTTAAACAACATACAGAAATTTATTTTACTTGATAGTCAAATACCGTACTACCCGTTGAGATTATGACAGGTTATTTGCAAAATAACTTGCTTGTAAGATTCATTAGTCGCATTGTTATAGAAACAAGTTACCTTTATATTTCATAGAGCAAATCGCGGTACGTCACGGTCAACAAACCGTGACAAGTCAGGGCCCGACATACCGTGACAAGCATATAACATTAATTAAATATTGCTTGTTATTTTTTCTTAAACTTTTGTTAACAATAGAAGTATGATTTTTGTGTTAAAAAGTACGCAATTTCTTTTACTTACTTCTTGCTAGAGACATCTCTCACCTCTCACAATGCCATCTGATCCCAAAATAATATATCACATCAACAGCCTTTAATAGTCCACTGCTGGACATAGGCCTCTCCTTAGAAAGGAGGTTTGGCCTCCACGCTAGCCAGACGGGTTGGTATAGGGTTTGTGTCAAGTTTTCCTTCTTTTTGCAGTGCTGGTGTCCTGCGTTTTTTTTTTGCGCCCTTAGTCGGCTCTTACGACACCCGCGGGACGAATTGGGGTAGTGACATTCCATACTGTTAATCCGTCACTACACGGACAATAAGATAATATATACCCAAACATAAAACAAATGCTCGTTCTCATCACACAATCATCCCTGTCCTGAGAGGAAATGAAACCAGTTACCTCATGCTACTCAAAATCACAAACAAACCATCAGGGAACACGATAATTTGTTAATGTTATATTTCAACTAAATAACCGTGACAAAGTGAAAGAAAATTTAATGGACAATAAATGGATGTGATCAAATAGACGGCGCTCAGTCAGCTAGTGATCACGAGATTAATAACTCGATTAAAATGATTTGTACCCTGCGTCTGCCGATCCATATATGACCTAAACAGTAGCTCACAACATAACGTTAACATAATGTCTATTAGTTCACTTATATTTTTATACTGTGCCGGCTTACTTACAATTGGACAACAAATTACAACCATGGAAGAGCCATGCTTCGGCTCGACCGGAGTACCACCACCACGGCCTAACAAAAAACCGGTGTTAAACCATTCTTTCGTTGCCTTTCACTGAGTGACTGAGATTACCGGAGCCCAAATCTCCTCCCGCTGACTCGAGTGTGAGGGCCTCCAAGGGCAGCAACGCACTTGTGACTTTTGAATTGCAGGTGTCCATGGGTGGTAATAGTTGCTTACCATCAGGTGATACGTCTGCTCCTTTGCCCCCTTATATCATAAACAAAAAAAAACTTTATTAATTAAGTACTTATATAAAAGTTTCATTTAATTTCTTAAAGCCAGAAAAGTTAACCTTGAATCATCCAACACCAAATCATTCCATCATATATGCATTTTTTTATTGCCCAGCATTCGACTATTCTTCGAAATGGATGCTCTTCCCACCTTTCCAGGTATAAAATCTATTTAAACTACTTTGTGTGCTACTGCTGCCTATATTTAATAGACTTACACACTCTATTAAATACACGCAGCAGTTGCATGCAATTAAAGCAAAGCAATTGTTACGTGTTCAGTGCGAACAGGGATATTGAACGATTCAGTTGGCCGGGCACAACGTGGTGTTTAATCTTATATAATTGTTTTATTGTTGCTTCCAAGAAAGTTGCGAAAGATTTTCAACTTGTAAAAGTCCAAGAACATTATTAAGTTCTGGGTAACCATCGCCCTATCGAAGTTGCTAACTGATAAATATAGAATGTCGGCTCCTTTCTTCAGAATGCTCTGCTTTTATTGAATTTTAACATGGTTACAAAATAGCAACAGGTCAAAATTTTCAACGAAAGTGAACTAAATGTTTTGTATTACTTTTCTTTTTAGTTTAAGTATTTTTATTTTGGGAAACATGCGTTTGTGCCATTAATAAAACTGAAAGATTTATCTTTTTCTTTTGGTAAAACTCGCTTCTCTCTGAAAGTATAAGTTGGATTTGGAAAAACAATATTGTTTTTTAGAAAATCCATGTTCTATTGAAAGTTACAGGTTATTATGATACGAACTCTGGAAGCGATTTACATTTTATAATATTAAAGTGGATAACCTGCCACAGGAATATGAGCCGATTGTTACTTTAGATAATTTTATTGAGGCACTTCTTTGAAAACGTTAAATAACGTATTTAATATACAACATCGACAGATTCTAACTCAAGTTAATACTTAATTCAGATAAAAATCTGGATCCTGTAACTGTAGGTCCGCGTGGTGACCGATTAAGAATACAGATGGTCACCACCCCTATTCATCCCGTGGGTGTCGTAAGAGCCGACTAAGGGAAAAAACTACGCAGAACAACAGCACTGCAGAGAGAAGGAAAACTTGACACAAACCCTATACCAACCCGTCTAGCCAGCGTGGTATAGTAGGTCAAAACCTCCTTTCTAAGGAGAGGCTTATGTCCAGCAGTGGACTGTTAAAGGCTATTGATGTGATGATGATGATCCTGTAACGTCTACTCTCTCCTAAATAAGCTTTTTGTAAAAACCGACCAAAGTATCATTAATAAGAAAATAACGTTTAATTTTCTAGATCCACACAGGACTACTACGAAGACATATTTGATACACTCAATCAAGCGTGTGATTCAAGATACAAAGATTGTTTTATATCAATTGAAAAATATTAATTCAACTGGTGGTCACATCAAGCAAAAGAGAATCAAATCTGAAGTATTAAGAAGGAAAGCTCAGCATGTAACTATCAAACTCGTTACGCGGAAGCTGAAACTCTTTAAATACGAGGAGTAAGATAGCAAAAATAATGTTAACTGTAAATTCTCTATTAAAAGACTCAATAGAAGAAGAAACAGAAAATTAAATCATGGGATTACTGAGTATGAAATGGTTGGTGCTTTGTTCACTAGCGCTGGCACGATTAGTGAGGCAGCCAACAGTGCCTGTGCAGGTCTCTGGAGGCCTGGTACGAGGAACGATCAGGCCTGACGGTGCTTTTATGGAGTACTATGGCATTCCATATGCGACAGTAGTGAACAGATTTCAGGTGAGTTCGATTTAGATTTTATTTTCTTTTCGAATTCTAATAATTAACAAATTTTCGTGGAGGAGCTATGCTTCCGCACATTTGCGTCAGTTCGACCGGGGTGATATCACGGCCTCATAGAAAACCGGTGTTTTTTCCATACTTTTACGAAAAAGGTTACTAGAACCCCAAACCCCTCCCGCTCCCTCTAGAATCAGGGGAAGGCGACTCCTACCAGGGACTTCCTTTCTAGGGTATACCTGGTTCCCCGGCTATTAGTACCCGAGACGGCGTGCGGTTTTAGTCGGTTCGAGTCCGACATGCCACCGACAGGTGGTATCCGAGGGGATTTCCGCACGGAAAAAAAAAAAACAAAAGGGGAAGGGGACTCAAAGGGCTGCAACGCACTTATGACTTTGAGTTGCAAGTGTTTATGGGCGGTAGTCACTTACTACGAGGCATGCCTTTTAAGTTTTGTCGTTTGAAGAAAAAAACACAACTAGAACCGTATTGTACTTTTTATTGTTTTTCAAAGTATTCACCACGTAGCTTAATACACTTTTCCATTCGCTCAAACCAGTTATTATAACATTTATTCTACTGTGTCGACTGCTTCTTCACCGGACTAAAACCTTTGACCACGAAGACTTTTCTTAATTTTAGGAAATGTAAAGAAATCGTTAGGGCTTAGGTCAGGACTGTATGGAGGATGGTCAAGAATTTCTACTTTTTCCTGCTTCAAATACTCAATCGTTTGACGAGCGCTGATGATGTCGTAGACGTGATTTGACTCTCCTCGGTTAACCTTTGCAGAGTATTCTTACACCATCTGACGCGGGCCTCGTTGTGATCGTCGGAAAGCAGATGCAGTATCCAACGGCAAACTAGCTTTCTCACACCAAGCGCTTCATGCAAGATCTTCTAAATGGTTGTCCCTGAGATACCTAATAGAGCCTCTATCTCTCGATACGTCACATGACGATCTTCGAGAATTAGTTGTCTCACAGCAATGATGTTATCTTCAGTGAAGGTGGATTTTGGGCGTCCTTCGCGAGATTTGTCACTAACACTAGTATATCCACGCTGGAATTCTAAATACCAGCGTTCGAAAGTCCGCAGACATGGGGCTTCATCACTGAACACAGATGTTAGCTCTTCAAAACACTGAAGCCGTGTCAGGCCTCTTCTAAAGTTGTAGAAAATTATTGCACGAACATTTTCCTTAGAAAGATTCATTTTCGTACGTGACCTGACAGATTCCAATCGACGCTGTGACTAAACAATAGCATTAATCCTAATACTTTCAACTATTTTGAGATTCAAAATTTAAACACATTCGAATATAGAACAGTTCCAAATTCAAAATTGCCGGGAAATATGGAAACGACAGAACTTAAAAGGCATGCCTAGTATCAGGTGACCTGTCTGCATAAAAATCATAATCTATTTGATGATCTGCCTGTCCTACAGAGAAGACCGTTCAATCGCAGGATGAAAAAAACGGATACCCTCTTCCCTTCTCTCTCCTCTCCCACTCTCACTGCTTATTGAGTTACTGTAGTCTTGGTCTCGTGTCCCATTAAAGAATTCCGATATCCCTATAACAGTTTACCTTCTTTTTTTCCTCTCCTGAAAACAGTTACTTTCCCAAAAGCTTACTTAAATAATCTACTATCCCCAAAGCGTACATTAATCACGTCTAAGTACCCAATAATAACATAATCCATCGTAGATATCTTCAGCAGCGATTGCAGTATAATTGTTTCTTCGAACTGCGAGCTAATAGACGTTAATGGTGTAGTAAAGCCGCACGTAACAATTTAGTACTAATCTACTAGTGATTGCAAACCTAACCCCCCCCCCCTCCTTTACCACTACCCTCACCCCTCTGTGTCGCTAGGTAGCTGCCGACTACAGCCCTAATCATAGTTTGATGTATTACTAAGTGTCGAGTAATTGAAGCCATTCATTTTTAATCCAATGTTTCTGTTAGCCATTCCTTTGATTACTGTGTTTTCAAAATCAGATAATTTTAATAGAAGTACAAACGAACAGCCTTTTTTATTGCCGAAACAATCAAGTGTGTTGGCCCAGTGATTAGTGATTCCGACTGCTAAGTCAGATCTGGTGGGTTCGTTACCCACCCAGAACAAATAATTTTATGATGAACAGGACCATTTGTACTGTGTCTATGTGTAATTTATCTGTGATGTATGTATTTAGAAATATGTAAGTGTTTATCAGCAGTCTGTTTACCATATTACAGGATCTGCCTAGTTTGTGACATGTGTAAAATTATTATTATTATTGATACGCACTTTTCTCTACTTTGAGTACTCGGATTTGCCATCAAAAACCAGGTACAGTTCTGTAACTGTACCTGGCCTGTGTACAGCGTATACCATATAAGCAATGTTCATTTCTTACCATTGAATTCCCTTCTGAAATGAAACTTGTAATTTTCCTATTTTATACATAAATTGCCTCGGTAGTGAAGTGGTAGCATATGCGACTGATGTGCTGAGGTCTCGGGTTCGATTCCCAAGTGTCAAAACAAATGTTTTGCAGATCATACTAGATCTGCAAAACATTTGTTTCGGAGTTTCGGTGTTCTCTATGTATAATATGTATGTATTTACAACAAAAAAAAAGTATATAAGTGTTCTATCAGTCTGCTTAGTTTGAAACTAGATGGCGTTGTGTGATAGATGTCCGAAAAATTATAAAGTGCTTACGAGTGAGACTAAAGTTATAGTTTAATACATCTCTGTTTACTCTTTTCCTGAAACATGTGTGAATATATGCACAAGTGTTTTGCAAGTTAAAATTTTACAAATTTCGGGATTCGGTCCTACTACATGTGAACTTTTATATGTAATTCATTTTTTTTTAATTTCAGAGTCCCATACCTGACCCTAAATGGGAAGGGATTTTTGATGCTTATGAAGAAAATATTAGATGTACCCAAAGATTCACTAGCACTACAATATTAGGAAGAGAAGACTGCCTCACGGTGAATGTGTATACACCAAGAGAAGCGCCAGGTCATCTCCTTCCTGTCATGGTCTTCATACATGGTGGTGGCTTCAGAGATGGTTCTGGATCACCTTTTATATACGGCCCAAAACATTTAATACAGCACGGTGTCATTCTAGTCACTTTCAATTATAGATTGGAAATTTTAGGTTTCTTGTGTTTAGGTATTAAAGAAGCACCCGGTAACGCAGGATTGAAAGATCAAGTGGAAGCGTTAAAATGGGTACAGAAGAATATAAAAGTATTTGGTGGAGATCCTGAAAATGTTACAATTTTTGGCGAAAGTGCAGGGGGAGCGTCGGTAGTGTACCACTTAATCTCTCCAATGTCTAGAGGCTTGTTCAAAAAAGCTATAATACAAAGTGGATCTGCTATCGCTCCTTGGAGTCTACAGTACGAGCCCTTGAAGACTGCTAGCCTTTTAGCCAAACAAATGGGTTTTAACTCAAAAGATCCCCATGAATTATACAAAATATTTAGCAATTTCACTCCAAAAGAGCTATTGAAATTCCGTGTGCCAAGAAAGAAAGGTGATATTATATTATCTGAAAATATTTTTGTACCATGTGTGGAGAAAGAAATACCTGGCGTTGACCGGTTCTTATCTAACCTTCCATATAACGTAATGAAGAACGGAAGCTATCAGAAGGTTCCCCTAATCTATGGCTTTAACGATGCCGAAGGCTATATGTTTACCGGTAAAGAGAATAGTACAACGCTTTCAAATATGAACTTCTATAGCGCACTACCAAGGGACATTGTTTTTCCAACTGAAGAAGAAAAAATAGCAACTGCTAAGAAACTAGAAGTTATTTACATGGGAGGGCAAAAAATTACCAACGAAACTCTTCTTAAATTTTCAAAATATGAGGGGGATTCGAGTATAACCTATCCTACGATTGCCACAATTGACCTGCTCTTGAAGACTTCAGATAACCCTTTGTTCGCTTACAAGTTCTGCTACGATGGTATGCTGAATTACGCGAAGATATTATATGGATTCAAGAAATTCAAAGGAGCCACTCATGCTGATGAATTGTTTTATTTATTTAGTACTGCAATACCTATGAGGTACTACGTAGAACAGAAATTCATAGACAAATTTACTGAGCTGTGGGCAAACTTTGCCCATTACGGGTAAGATTGTTACTTTAAACACTATAAAACTTTAACGAGCTATAAAAAAGCTTTGGCCACACTAGATTTATTTTTAAATATCACGAATTCAATGCCTCTTCATCGTGGTGAATTTAAATAAACACTGATCTTAATTTCCTAATTTTTTCGACCTTAGGAGTCCTAAGGTCTAAAAAATTAGGGAATTGTTTCAAATACTAATGGGTCCATACGAAAAGTATACCTAATATTCATAATTAATAAAATCCTTGATTTTTAAAGTCTATTGAAAAGAAGTAGAAATACAGGAAATATATTTTCCTGCACACGTAATTCTTATATTTTGTACAGAATTAAAGCTGTATGGTACGGGAATGAATTGCGCTGAAACTTGTATTGCCCGCATTGAATGAATTCATTAAGTCTCTCATATTGTTTTGCAAGAAAAAAAGCTTGTTAATCATATCAGCGGTTTTTAAAATAATTTTATTATGATTAGTTCCAGCATAATCAGGAATAAACCTTGTGAATAAGTACTTAATATAAAAAATATATGTCAAAGAGAAATATATTAAAAACAAATTGTTTTTAGCTTAGAAAATTGACTTGAAGCGTTTCAAGGCTTTTAAACATGAAACTAAATAATGTCATTATTGAAATTCAGAATGACATTAATAATATTCTTTAATAAAAGGCTTTTAATACATAAGTCCGTTAGGTTTATTAATAAAGTCGACTCGAGATTGTTTATTAATATAATAATTAAGACGATTTTTTTTTACAGAGATCCTACACCATCAAAATCAATGTTGCCAAAGTGGGAGCCAGCTGATCCTCTAGACCCGCAATTATTAGTCATAGACAAGGAGTTGTCAAAGGCACCAGTATGGGATGATGAACATATAAAGTTTTGGAACGAAACATATTTCAAATATAGAAGAAAAACTTAAATAGGCAGTTAGAAATAGTGCCAATAAATTATTTTGTAAATAAAAATAAATCATAAACGTACTACAAAAACGAGATTTAAAAAGAATAGTACTATGTATAGTTTTTTTTTTAATAAAAGACAGATTTCCATATTGTGTACGCAAGTGACTTTCAGAAATGTTTTCAAATTATATTTCTATTTTTAGCTAGTATATAAACTTTGAAGAAATAAAAACCATTTAAGAGGGAATCCTCAAAAGCATCGCATTTTACTTTCACAACCCTTTTATTTCTAATTTCAAAACTTAATTATTGTGCTCGTTCGAAGATTTTCTTATTTAAATTTTGTGGCAAGATTTTTTGTATAATTTTGTTTTACCAAAATTTAGCAAAATGATGATAAAGGAATCAGGAGAGAAATATTTATTTCTATTTATGATACTCATAGCCTATTTCAAAAAAAAAAAAACAGCTTCTATCCTATCTACCCATTACTTGATCATTAACAGTCTATAACAGTCCACTGCTGGACATAAGAATCTTATGCATCCTATTGAAATCACTGCAAATTCTTATTTTCTTTTACTATTTAAATGTAAAAATATAAAAATACTAGCTGACCCTGCAAACGTTGTTTTGCTATTTTCATTATTTATTTTTTATTTTTTTGAATTTCTTAAAATCCGTTCTTAGCTGACCTCTACTGGGTGAAAAGAATATTCCTACCAAATTTCAAGTCTTTAGCTCTAATGGTTCCAGAGATATCGTGATGAGTGACTATATACGTGGAAATATATATAAAGACTAGCTGACCCGGCAAACGTTGTATTGCAAAACAAAAAAAAAATTAGGGATGGGTCACCCTTACCATTTAGGGGTATGAAAAATAGATGTTGGCCGATTCTCAGACCTACCCGATGTGCACACAAAATTTCATGAGAATCGGTCAAGCCGTATCGGAGGAGTACGGGAACGAACATTGTGACACGAGAATTTTATATATAAGATTAGAAACTATGGGCTGTTCGTTTAGTGGTTAGCTATCCAGCCTGTGTCTGAGGCCGGCCGGCGGGGTGGTTGTAGTTGGAAATACCACATACTCTTGGCTGCTACATGCTTTGGGAGCCGGCTGAAGATCTGAAGGGATTTTCCAGCCCGTCATAAGAAACTAGAAATGTCAACGAATGAGTCTTTGTTGTGAAATATATCCGAAGTTAGTACCGTCACATACTTTATCGTGTTCTAAACCGGTGTGGTGAGGGATTAAGAATACGGACAAACTAAGCAGGACAACAGCACTGCAAAGAGAAGGAAAACTTGACACAAACTCTATACCAACCCGTCTGGTCAGCGTGGTATTGTAGGTCAAAACCTCTTTCCTAAGGAGAGGCCTATGTCCAGCAGTGGACTATTAAAGGACATCAAACTTCCTCAGCGACTTCCAGAAAGCGGCTTGAATGCACTCTTCGAGCTCGTGATGACTCAGCCCTTGTGATTTAAATACCTAGGGCACTGTATATTGTGGGTATGTGACGGTACATGGCGAATAGAAATATAAAAAATATAGAAAATGTGCGGGTAGATGAATAGCCTTCTACCGCACGGATTCTATGTCGGCGGCACACCGGCACCACTGAACCAGTCAACCGCAGACCACGGCCAATGAAACCTGCTCGAAACGTCAGGCAATTGAAAGGTTATGTTATATCCCGTTACTAGCTGACCCGGCGAACTCTGTTCCGCCTTAAAGGCAATAAATAAGCCGATTTTCGAATTTAGTAAGTTAATTTATTTCTTAGAAAAAAAAATGAAGTACATTAATCATTTATTATAGTTTCAGCATTTCAGTACATAGGTTGCTCTTCACTTAAGTACCTTGTGATACACGACATTTTTTCTTTTCTTATCAGGCGCAAAAACAAACAACGCAGATGGTCTTCCGACCAATACTCAACGTTGCAATGTGTCTTGAACGTTTTAGAAATAAGTGGCGAATATGGAACAATCCAACTGTTGTCGACAACGAAATCCATTCTTTTCACTTTTGTTGTGGCAGTTCCACCGGTGTCATCTGGTGATCGACGCCGATACAAAAAAAAAAAACGGAATAAATAGTATCCTATGTCCGTCTCCTGGCTCTAAGCTACCTCCTCACCAATTTTCAGCAATATCGTTCGTTCTTGAGTTATAAATAGTGTAACTAACACGACTTTCTTTTATATATATAGATATGTAAACAGTAAAGTATGTGACGCTACTTGACGAAACAAAAATATTAAAAATATAAATATCCATGTGGTGACGAAGTAGGAGTAACAAACACGCAGGACAACAGCACTGCAAAGAGAAGGAAAACTTGAAACAACCCCTATACCAATCCGTCTGGACAGCATGGTATGGTAAGCCAAAACATCCTTTATGTTTACAGGCCTATGTCCATCAGTGAACTATTAAAGCCTGTTGATGATGATGATGAAAAATAGAAAAAAAATATGCGGATGGATGCAGCACTTTGCACGCAGTGTCGACGATGGAGAGCGTTCACCGCTGAGACAGTCCATCTGTGCGTGTGACCATGGCCAGTACAACCTGGTCGAGGTTCATTCGGAAAACAATTGAAAAGGTATGTAGTACATATTATTTGCTTTAATTCACAAACTTAATTATATTTCATATCTTTTTTGGGTTGTTCCGTCTTCATCCCACTAAAGCTCATCCCAATACGTTATTTTCTTAACCCAGCTGAGTTTTATTCTACATTCATCCCAGGACATTTTTTATTATTTCTATTCTCATCCCATTTTGATTAATCTGCTATTCTTAACTCATCCCTTGCCGCAATTTTCTTATGGCAACACGTTTGGTGAGTATAGTTTGCAAACAAAAATTAACCGACTATGAAATATGGAGATTATTGTTACCTTGTTACATAAGAATTGTTGTTGACTAAACACTTGTTACATAAGAACTAAAGCGTAACTAAATTGAAAATATATTTTCATGTTTAATTAAATAGGTCGATTTCCACAATAATATTACAAAATTTAAGATGTGATTCATATAATGTATTCATACTTTTGCAGTACTTGTTGCACTGGGCTCAGTTAAGAATAACAAATGGATTTTAAAGGTGGGATGAATACGGAATAAGCGTTTGGGATGATATAAAAATGGGATGAAATCTAGTGGGATGAAGACGGATCAACCCCTTTTTTTTGCATTTGTCGTTTCAAATTACATTTAAAATATAAGTTGGACATATTTTTGTAAGACATTTATAAAACCCTTCATTTTGGTACCCCACTCTATACATTTTGAAGAAAATATATTTTTTAAACATATAATTTTGGCGCCAAAAATCCATCATTTTAATATTTGAAAATTTTCATGAACGAAAAGAATTATACATACATACATACGCTCGAAACACACAACCCTACTGGTGCAGTCGGGTATTTAGTTTAATACCTTGGTTTATAGTTCGTTTTATAATTGCAACATAAATTGCTCCAGCGATACGCAGTAAATACATAAAAAATAGTTCAGAGCCCTCTTTACAACTGTGTAAATAAAATACTACATACTTGTAAAACGACTACTTACTAAGTATTCTCAGTACATTTGTGATAATTTATTGACGTTCACACCTTTGTACCACACCATAGTACTATGGTGTAGTAAAAACGACCACACAAGATGCAATGTCGCCAAGTGTAAACACGCCTTATTGCTCCATTGGTAACCTAGCCCCTACTACTTGCTCACCCGTGGCATTGTCAATTGACCTTCGCATTGTGAAAGGTTTGACTCGCTATCATCATTCGCAAATTACAATATGAATAAAATCGCGAGTGTAGCGCCCGAGTGATAACGCGCTGTGCGTTTTCGTGAAGGTGTGAATATCAAACCAGTAGTTATATTTATTCTATTTTCAAAATTTGAAAATATTAATTTTTAATAATTTTAATTTCCAAATGAATTGTAAGGTGATTTTTTTTTATTTTGGTACTAAACATGTTAGATACAGACCTATTTAAATTGTGTTATAAAACTAATAATAATATCTATGAATTTAAAAGTTTAAAGAAATCGTACAAAAAGGCGTTTTAAGTATCTATAAATGCATCTATCCTTTTAAAATTAATACTTTTTTGCAGTAAATAGATTCAATAGAACAAAAAGTGTGTGAAATAGTTGATAGTTAACGAACAGTTCTAAGTTCTAATACATGTTAAGTTTAATTTAAGTGACCACAAGTATTGCTGCTACCTAAATGGTGTAAAGTTACAAGTGTAATACATAATACATAGTATGGTAAAATTAATAATTTTAAATGTAACTTATTCTTACTAGAGATCACCTGCTCGTCAAATTTTCACGTTAATTAATGTTGATTTGTGATATATAAGAAAAAAAAAATCATACATATGTTTTTCAACAGATTTTTGCACTTCTATTCCAAATTCAACCTTTTAATATTCTAATTAAAATGCATACAAAGAATAGGACAGGTAATAAGGTACAGGTATTTTTTTTAATAATAATAATATAAAAATAATATTCTACCACATTCACACAACGCCATCTTGTCCCAAACTAAGCAGACCTTGTACTATGGGTACTAGACAACTGATACAAATACATTTTTTTTGTAAATTCATACATATTATACATAGAAACACCTAGACCAAGTCGAACATTAAATGTTCTTGCACACAAATGTATGACTTGAGCGGCAATCGTACCGCAACCTTTACGACTCTTTTATTAGTTAATATTCTTGTGAATTGTATTAAATATTTATTTAATTTTTAATTTAGATTATCTACACTATATACTTTTAAGTTTATGATCCAACTAATGGTCATGGTTTCGTCCGCGGCGTTGTGGTACACAACACTAATACATTTCTACCATAAATATACATATATAATAGGTTTGTTTACATATTATTAGTGTTTAAAGTGGAAATAGTATAATTATATGTAATAAGTATCTGATACCTTTAAACAAGCAATTC